AGTTTCACGGTCCCGTTTAAGATACTGGCTATACATACAGGAAAAAACTTAGATATTTACATAGATTAGGTTAGGTTGAAGCAGCTGCTTTCAATCAGCGTAGAAGAGAGGCACAGTTAGCCCCAGTAGACCCGTTATGATACCAATTGAGAGCTCGTAGAACCAATTGGTTAGGTTCAGAAGGTACGAGAATTCATGAAAGCCTACTTCATTTAGTTCCGCCAGACAGACAAAGAGGTGGTGGTAAAATGAGCGTCTTCTCGCCAACGAAAGGGCAGGGCAATGACAGAGATAGTGTCGAGTATATTTTATGTATCTTCACGACGAAGTGTAGCAGACTATGAAACTAAATCGTTAAGGATTTGCCTGCATTATATCGCAGTTATGGACGAAGTTTCACAGCTATCTAGTGACTTAACAAATGCTTGGCTATCGGAGTAGATGGTTATTGAAGGCAAGTTAAGAGAAGATTTGATGAGGCAGAGGTCAGCCTCCTTTGTAGCCGTGAGTTCTGTTTGGAAGAAAGTGCAGTGGTCTGGCAGCCTAAAGCAGAGGTGTAATGAGAGGTCCTTCGTGTGTATCCCACTCTCAACCCTTAGATTTGGTTCGAGCTCCAACGGTAGTGTTGTGTAGTCTGGGGACCTAAACGTATCGTGATTGTTGGTTAGAATGTTGTTGTGACCGAATTTGTTGTCTTTCCTTTTTGACAGTGCACTTAGTATTACTGTATTGCAGCTTGCCTCTATCTCCTCAAAAAGGTCAACGGGCAGAAAGTTTAGGAGGGTTTTCATGGCTTTGGTGGGTGTAGATGGTATGAGGGAATTATCCGGTGATATCCACCAGACTGTGACGCCGTAGTATAATAGGAAGACGTACCACTGCTGTATAAATCTAGTGAACTAAGCATGTGGTGTTTGAGATCCCATTTCTTGCCTATAACGGTTTTGCAGGCGCAGAGGGCGGAAACGGAATCTTTAGTCCGCTCCTCTTCGTTGCGTTTCGAGGTCAGTTTCCTGTCGAAGAAGACGCCCAAATATTTCACTTCATTAGATATTTAAGAATTATATAGGAAATAGCTGAGGACATATTGGGTATCATAGTGCTGCTCTTATGTTAGAAATCATCGGCTTAAGAAGCTAGTAAACGAAACTTAAAGAAATACCATAGAAAGCAGCGCTGCCAAGGAATAGTGGTTTCCGGAGAAGAGCCTTAAGTAAGGCACGAACAACCGAAGGTAGCCTGAAGCCATAACATCGTTCTTTTATTCTCTATTCAAGTATGAAAAGAATGCCGAAATTCCCAGTTTTAGAAAACAAAGTAAATAAATGTCTTAATCTAGATATAATTTGAGTCGAGTAGTCTGAACTATATACAAGAAAGAGCATAGAACTAATAAATATTGATAGTTTCAGTCCCAAAACATAACTCCTAAATTTCGTCGACCCTACAGTATATCAGACGACATTTTTAACTCTTAAATTTCGGAGTGTCGGAACGGAGGGTTCGTGATGGAATGCAGAAACTATAGTGAACTTGCTTACTACTTAGGAAGGGTACTTTAGCGGGTCTTGCTTAGCGTCTACTGTCACAATGCAAGGCGCGACTAGGCTGATACCAAAATGGATTGATATATCTAACGGAGTCTTCCTTAGGTCGAGTCACTTTAAATGGCATTGGGATCGTTATTCTGGTCATTGGGATCGTTACTCAGGTAACGAGCACCACTGTGGTCGATTGAACAAAGTTTTAGTTTAGAAAAGTCTGCCAAAATCTTGCACTAATCGATTGCTGAGGTGCTCAGTTCAGACAATATTTTGGAAATCTGAACTGCTTTAATTTTGTCTTTTTCGTTCCTCTTTTTTTAATCTTTACTCAGCTTTATTTTCATATCAAAAAGCTGACAACACTATGTACAGTTTAATTCGAGTTAATCTTTTTGCTATTTATTTTCATAGCAAACAAAGCTATTGCCCTGCCTGATATATGCTTAAAGTTCTTGTTCGCAATACTTTCTTTTGTCAGCCTCATTTATTCGCAACTCATTCGGAATGCTTCACAGTGGGATGAGAGTCAAGTCTAGCGCGCCATAAGTCTGCTGGATATATGTATAACTTATGGGGCTTTCGCATGAGGCGATTTTTCAGGCAACTTTTGCGTTCAACTCACGCAGGGTTGCACGAAAAAGAAAATTGAATGACTACAAATATTAAAATATACAAAAATATCAAAATATTCGCCATAAAAGGCTTTTGCATTGTTCCACTTTACATTCTACTTTTAGTTGAGCGGCCTTTCAACTAATCGCTTTCAACAAAGTTGGTCGCCAGCCAACATTCAGCCATTCAACTTTTTTTCGTGCAACCCTGCTTGAGTTGAATGCAAAAGCTGAATGCATAATCGCCTCGTGCGAACACCGTTTTAGGGACGCTGAACTCATTTTTGGTATTTATACTATTATAGAAGTATTAAGAGAAATTTCAGAGTATACCCAAAAATTATAAGATAATTTTTAAAATGACTTTTGGCGCGCTAGAACTGCTTTTCATCCCACTGTGCGCTTGCTTTTGACATACATACATAAATGCTTTGTTATGCCAAATAAAACTTGCGCCTTTTCTTGCCTGTTTCTTGG